TCTCCCTCCCCCTCCCCCCTCCTCCTCCTTTAATGGTGCTGGGGATTAAGGCCAAACCCTCCCACATGCTTAGTGAGCACTCTGCCACTGAGCTATACCCACAATCCTGCCACTTAAAAAAAAACAAAAAAACAGTTTAGTGTTATTCATATTCATTATCCAATATCTTACTGATACATATTTAATTTTTTCATACAAAAAGTGTTTTTAATGTTATTGAATTTGAATTCATATCATTTGTCAAGCTTACTTTCTTCCTACAGATACTGTTGGTTGAAAATACTTGTTCTATTTCTCAAGGTTTCTAATTAGCTAAAATGAGATTATATTCTGAAAACTGTGCTATACAGTTATATAGGGTTGTTATTTATGGTCACACAGATTTTCCATTCTTATAATTTAGAGATATTTGTTGAATATAAGCTATTTGAATGGAATTTTAGACTGCTTCTAAGGTTGCTTAAAAAGAAAATAGCCTCTAGGCTTCATGTGGTGGCACACACCTTTAATCCCAGCTACTCAAGAAGCTGAGGCAGGAGGATTATAAATTCAAGGCCAAACTGGGCAATTTAGTGAGACTCTGACTCAAAAAGTTGAGCCAGGAACAGTGGTATGCGCCTGTAATCCCAGCAGCTCTGGAGGCTGAGACAAGAGGATCAAGAGTTCAAAGCCAGCCTCAGCAAAAAGCTAGGTGCTAAGCAACTCAGAGAGACCTTGTCTCTAAATAAAATACAATATAGGCCTGGTGATGTGGCTCAGTGGTCCAGTGTCCCTGAATTCAATCCCTGGTATCCCCAAAAAATGGAAAATAAAAATAAAAAGTTGAAAGGGCTGAGGATATAGTTCAGTGATAGAACTCTCACCTAGCATGCAGGAGGATCTGGATTCAATCCTCAGCACTTGAAGCAATTAAAAAGAAGATGGAAACCTATGGAAAAATTGAAAATGGACGTAACTTTTAGAAGGTATGACCTCCACTGTTGTAACATATGTAATGTTTGTGAGGTTTTGTTTGTTTGCTTGTTTCTTCTAAACTAAAAGAGGAAACATAATTGAAAATGAGCCCTTGGAGCCCACAGCCTTCTCTTTGTTACTGAGCCAGGCCCATTTTGCCTGATGGTCAGTATAACCCAAATACAATGGGTTTCCTCTTGGTGAATACAAAGCCAATAAGCACAACCAAGAGATAAAAGAGAGAAGAAGGACGTATTACTTGCAGCAAGTAAGAAGAGCACAGGAGATACTTCCCAAAGCAATGTCTTTCTCAAGACAGAGGGTAAGGGAATTTTATGGGAAAGACTTACGCGTTTTCATCTTGAAAGGACTTATCATCATCTGTAGAGGCAGGCACATTCCTGAACAAACTTAGTTGGTGTAATAGTTTGGATCGAGAAATGTTCTTTGAAAAAAATCATGTGATAGGCAATGAAGCAATGTTCAGAGGTGAAAAGACTATATTACAAGAGCTGTAAACTCCTGAGGGGATTAATGCATTCGATGGATTAATAATTTGAATGCAGTACCAGCTAGTAACTGTAGGCAGGTGGGGCATGGCTGAAAGAAGCAGATTACTGGGATGTGCTCTGACGTCTTTATTTTTATATCTCTATCACTATGTCTTTCTCCTTCTGAACTGACATGAGCTGTGCAGCTTTCCACCAAGATGTTTCTGCCTTGCAGTCAGCCAGCCATGGACTGAATTTCTGAAAGTGTGAGCCAAAATAAACCTTTCCTCCTTTAAGTTGTTCTTGTCAAGTATATTTTGGCCACAATCATGAAAAACTGACTAGCACGGTGGAGACTATGCTTCATACACTGCATGTTCAAAGATGGCAGATCAGATCCCCAACTACTCAGTAGAGAATTTATCATCATGGGCTGGGTATACAGCTCAGTTGGTGGAATGCTTGCCTCACATGTACAAACCCTGGTTTCAATCCTCATGCACCACAAAGAGAGAGAGAGAGAGAGAGAGAGAGAGAGAGAGAGAGAGAGATTAGCATCATAATCATAGTGAGAACTTTTTTTTTTTTTGTACCAAGGATTAAACCCAGGGGTACTTTACCACTAAGCCACATCTCCCAGTCCTTTTAAAAATATTTTACTTAGAGATAAGATCTCACTGAGTTGCCTAGGACCTCACTAAATTGCTGAGGCTGACTTTGAACTTTCAATCCTCCTGCCTCAGCCTCCCAAACAACTGGGATTACAGGCATAAGCCACTCTGCCTGGTTACAATGAGATTATGATGACCAAGTTTTATTCTAGGTCACCTAAAAGAATGACTCAGTGATTTTGGCTAGTTTAAGCAGGTTCCTTGTGGTTTTCTCTGGAGGGCATTTTCTGAAACAAAACAAAACAACTCTTAATGAATGTTAGCAGTCATTTAAAGAGGTAGCAGCTTCTTCCCTTGCAAGCACAGGTTCTTGCCCCTAAAAGTTCCTGCCTAGGGCTGAGTGCAGTGGCACAGGCTTGTAATCCCAGCAGCTCTGGAGGCTGAGGCTGGAGGATCACAAGTTCAAAGTCAGCTTCACCAAAAGCAAAGTACTAAGCAACTCAGTGAGATCCTGTCTCTAAATAAAATACAAAATAGGACAGTTGGGATGTGGCTCAGCGGTCAAAGGCCCCAGAGTTCAATCCCTGGTACTTCTCAAAAAAAACAAAGTTCCTGCTTAGCAACTAACAAAACAATTAATTTTGCAAAAGAGTTTATTCACTAGGTGCCAATCATGTGGAAAGAGGAAAATTAGACTCAAATCTTCCTCTCCAAAGATAAGATCTAGAATTGTGTTAGTCAGTTTGTTGTCACTGTGACAAAAATACCCGGGAAAAACAACTTAAAGGAGTAAAGATTTCTCTTGGTTCATGGTTTCAGATATATCCTTCCAGGGCACACCTCAGTAATCTATTTCCTCCAACTAGGCCTTACCTCTTATAGTTTCCACCACCCTCCAATAAATCCATTCAGCTATGAATCCATCACCATGATGTTAGAACTCTTATGATCCAATCACTTCTCAAAAGCTCCACCATTGATCATTAGGGACCAAGTCTTCAATACATGAGCCTTTCGGGGTCATTTCATATCCAAACTTTGAGAAAGGTATTTATAGGTTCAAAAAACAGAGTGGTCATGAGGCTGGGGTTGTGGCTCAGTGGTGAAGTGCTCGCCTAGCATGCATGGGGCACTGGGTTTGATCCTCAGCACCACATAAGTGTAAAAGAAAGATATTGTGTCCACCTAAAATTTAAAAAATAAATATTAGAAAAAAAAAGAAACAGGGTGGTCTTAGACATGGGGAAAGGCAATTAGGGGCAGGGAAAAGTGAAGTAATCAGTGGTCTATGAACATGTAATCAAACTCCATAACTCTTCATTCCGGAGAATAGCAGCATTCAGGTGATCTGTGAGTGCTACCCCTCTGTTATCAAAGGTCACCCATGGACACCTGCACAGGCCTAAACAAAGGGTTAGTGGTTTTAACCAGTTGGAGATAGACAAAGGCATCTTTACAAGTTCCTGGAAAACAATTTAGGCAATTATTATCATTAAGACCCATGTATGGGGGGGGCTGGGTTGTGGCTCAGTGGTAGAGCACTTGCCTAGCATGTGTGAGGCTGTGGGTTCCATTCTCAGCACCACATATAAACAAATAAATAAATAAAGGTCCACCAATAACTAACAAAAATGTTTTTTAAAAAACCATGTATCAGAGGTGTTATTTATAACAAAGCTAATGGGAGTATACTGTTTAGTTATGGGACCTATAAAATTGATGATTAAAAGCAAGTAACTAAAAAGCAGTGAAGCTAGATTGTTTATTACAGTTTTCCCTCAGTTTCATCTGCACCCCCAATGCCCCCCGCCACCCTCATGAAACTCCATCTTGAGCTACTAACACGGCCAAAATCTTTATTATTTCTGCAAAGGCTTTGAAAAGTTAATATAGGGCAGCATGTTCTATTCTGGAGATTAATTCTAAAAATACAATATCTTTTTCTGACCAAAATAAATTTTAAAAAGCCTTTTAGGGCTGGGGATGTAGCTCAGTGATAGAATGCTGGCCTGCATGCATAAAGCCCTGGATTTGTTACCCAGCACTGACACTTAAAAAAAAAAAAAGCCTTTCAGGCAAAAGTCATTAATCAGTTCAAAAAGAAACTGAGTCGCCCATGTATCTAGTTTCCTTTTGTGGGTATTATTATACAACAGTGCCTCGCTGAGTAACTTGCAACGTTGAGTGCCTTAGCCCTAACGTCCTCTTCATGCCACACTCCATAAAAGCAGTAGAGGGTGAACTTAATTTAGCTGTTTCAGCTTTCTTGGAAAGGTGCCTATATGTAACCACAGGAAAGCAAGTAAAAAGGAAAGGCTGTTCGAAAGAATGCAAGATGAGGGCATTCGGAGACGGGGTGGGCAAAGCCCGGGGGTGGGGGGCGGGGATGGGAAATATGGTTCCTAAATTGAGCATCAAAGCCCAGGACTTTCCGTGAGTGAGCTCAAAATCTACAAACCCAGGAGACTAGACTTGGGGGCGGAGAACGGCTCCCAGAGTGGGAGTGGGGGTGTGGCTAGTTTTCAGTAAACACAGAGCTATACCGGGAAAAAAGGAAATGAAGCTAGCGGATTAAGCGAGCCGTTGAGATGCTCGTCAACACGCCCTGCAACTTTTCAAAAGGCAGCTGCTGCTTCATTAAGAGCACGATTTTATTAGCATGGGAAACCCACTCCCACGTCTCAATCTTTCCATTGCACTATCTTCCGCTTCCAAGCGTACCCACAAACCAGAGGCAGACAAAACCTCTACCACTACCGAAATCCTAACGTGCAGCACAAGAAACTACAAGTTCCAGGATGCACCGCTGCCTGGGGCCAAACACCAACAACAGCAACCCTCCAGAAAAACTACAAGTCCCAAGGTGCAATTCTGCCTAAGATTCCCGAGAGCCTTTGCAGAAATTGGATTAGGTTGGCGCGGCATGCTGGGAATCCAAAATATCTAGAATCGTACTGGTGGAGGTTTGCCAGTGACGTCTCTTTGGAGGGCCTGAGTTACTGAAGGGGAAGGGAAGGGACGCTACGCACTTCCTGCAGACCCGTGGGCGAAGGACCGCGTCTCAAGCCTCACCAGGTACTAATCTCCCGCCCGTCGCAGAAAGCGGCAATGACCCGGCGGAAGTAATTCCTTCGACTGCCCCGGAACTCACAGGGGCAGGCAGCTGGGGGTGGGGGGGTGGCCCTGGAGTAGGGGCTGTGGCGGTACGAGGGGACTCGGCTGCGGTGGCTGCGAGGCTGACGAGTGAGTGTCGGGTTGGGGCAGGAACCGAGCTGCTGGTACGCGTGGAGAGTGAGGGAGGCTGGAACTGGGTGGTTTCACAGTCCCACTTCTCACCCCTTCCCATCTGGGCGGGGAAGGAACGGAAGCTCTTAACCTCCCGGGCCTCCCCAGCTCTTGGTTTGGGGGAGGGGAGAGGAGGTTGGCGGGACCTTTTCTGGCGCCCCTCGGTGGGCTTGGAAAGATGTTGAAGGAGGGGAGGCTCCCGGCGAGATTGGGCCTTCGCTGGGCTGAGCGCGGGAGGGTGGAGTTAGGAGTATGGCATCCCTCTCGTCTTTTTCTTTTTTCTTTAATCATGTGCGTTCAGTTCGTTCTTGTCTTGAAGTCAGTCTCTAGTCCCAGGAGTGGGTCCTCACTCTTCCAGCAGCGGGACCCCGAAAAGAGTTTATCTTCCAGGCAACTCCTTGGATGATCTCTGCCTGACTTTGGTTGGTTGGGGTTTTCGTGCATCTACATCCCAGTCTTGACTGAAAGAAGGTATCAAATATAGTATCCAATTGATTTCTTACTGAAATCTCTTTAGTAGCATTTAACTGTGGAATTTGGGTCATTTAGTGTGAACATTTCTATTGAGCATCTCTTTCAGTGTAGAAAGTAACTGAACTCTTTAGTCTTATTTATTTATATGCGGTTCTCAGGATCGAACCCAGTGACTCACACATGCGCTCCACCACTGAGCCACAACCCCAACCCAATCTTTAGTCTTTATAAAAAACAAAAACTTATTTTTAAAGTTCCAAATTTGCTTTTTGATCTCCATTTATTTCCTTTTTCGTTAAGTGGCCTAAAATGACAAATATCTAATCTCACCTACGTTATAATCATGTTGAAAAATCACAGTTCACATGTGAGTTAAAAAATTATTGGTATACAATAATTATGTATATTAGTGGGTTTCACTGTGACATATTTGTACGTGTACATAACATGATTTGGTTAATTTCATTTCCCAGTACCTCTCTTTGCCCTGCCTTTTTCCTCCTGGTGGTCCTTGTCCTCTCTTTTACTGGTCTCCTTTCTATTTTTACCAGATTCCTTTTTTTCTCTCTAATATCTATGATATAACATAACAGCTCTTGACTTTCTTGAGTCTGGTTAGTTTGCTTAACGTGATGTTCTGAAATTCCATCCATTTATCAGCAAATGACATAATTTACTTATTTTTTTTATTTTTTATTTTTTTAGAGAGAGAGAGAGAATTTTTAATATTTAGTTTTCAGCGGACACAACATCTTTGTTTGTATGTGGTGCTGAGGATCGAACCCGGGCCGCACGCATGCCAGGCAAGCGCACCACCGCCTGAGCCACATCCCCAGCCCAATTTACTTATTTTTTAAAGCTAAATAAAACTCCATGATGTGTATGCAGTGAATATATGCCACATTTTCTTTATCCATTCATCTGTTGAGCCTGGTTACTGTGAGTTGCACTCCTATTGCTATAAACATAGGAATGCATGTATTGCTTCAGTTGACTTTAATTCTTTTGGATAAATACCAAGAAGTCACAAGTGGATTTATTCTTTCTAGAGATATAATGTCAAGGAAACAGCTGTGATTCTTCCCATCATGGATATTTGTTGTGATGATTCAGGGTTCTACTTCATTTTTATCTTGTGTTGATTTATGTATTTATTTTTATTTAATTTTTTGCAGTTTGGGGGATGGAACCCAGGGTTTCCCATATGCTAGGCAAGTGCTCTACTATACCCCCAGCCTCCTATTTAAATTTTTAAAAACTCTTTTTTGTTAAATGTGAAGGTTTAGCCAAGTGTGGTGGCACATACTTGTAATCCCAGCATCTTAGGAGACTGAGGCAAGAGAATTGCAAGTTTGAGGCTAGCCTCTACAACTTAGTGAGGCCCTGCCTTAAATGATAAAGGGTTTGGTGATGGCAGGCACAGTGGCACATTTTATAATCCCAGCAACTCCAGAGCCTGAGTTAGGAGTATTATAATTTCAAGGCCAGCTTTAGTAACTTAGGGAGGTCCTAACCAATTTAGTGAGACCCTGTCTCAAAAGATGAAAAGGGCTGGAGATGTAGCTCAGCAGAGAACTCCCAGTTTCAGTCTCAGTACCATGGGCATGGAGAGTAAAGTTTTGTCTAAACTATCATTCAAAAATTACACATTTATTTCAAAAGGAGAGAATCTTTATCACTACTAGATGGTACTTCTGTAAGAAAATTAAGCAGTAGTTGACACCCAGAAATTATAGTCAGCCCCATATATCGAGTTCTGAAGTAATATTAGTTTAGTGCTTTTTTTTTTGTATAATTTTCAAATGCTGCAAATAAAATTTATGCTCTTATGTGTTTATGCATTTCAGCTAACCTGCCATCCTAAATGATTTATTGTTCCATTATTATATAAGGTCAGACATAGCTCATCCAGTGGTGCCTCAAATTTTAAAAAATATTTATTGAGAATCTACTATTATTGTCACTGTTTCAGGCCTGCCCTCAAAGAACTTGAGAAGAGAGTATATGTATAAGTAATCAAATAATAGTTTCAGGTAGTGCTTAAAGGAAATATGTCAAGATTAGGGGTTAGTGTAACTGGGATGGGAATGTCTAATTTTGATAGACTAATCAGGGAAGACCTCTCTGAGGAGTTGATGTTTTAGCTGTCTTAAGGAAGACTTAAAGGAAGAATTTTTCAGACAGCAGCAACTGCAAATGCAAAGATCTTGAGATGTGAGTAAACTTGACCTATTCAAAGAATACTAAGAAGATCAAGGTGAGTGGAACATAGTAAAGGAGAAGTAGTGCAAGATGAGGTGAGAGAAGTTAACAAGAAATAAATAAGATTGGGGCCTTATAGTCCTCTTTCTATCTGTAATGAGAAGTCAAAGCATTAGAGGGTTTTGTGCAGGAAAGTGATACTGGTTTATGCTTGAGATGGTAGTTTGCTGGGTAGAGAACAGACCAGCTGGGAAGAAAATGGGGAAACAATTTCATGAGTAGACTTTGTAGTATTCTATTTGAGATATGGTAGCTTGAACTAGAGGTATAGAGTTAGAAATAAATGAGAAATGGTCTGATTTGGAATTTAATTTGAAGCTGGAGTCAAATCAGTTCACCCTGGGACAAAAGAAAAAAAAAACAACTGAATGATCATATGTTTTGCCTGAGCATCTTTTGAGTACCATTTACCAAAATGAGGAAGACTGGAAAGGGACCATGGTTTCTGAGAGAAGTCTCAGGAGTTCTGTATGGGACTCGTTGAGTTTGAATATTAAGATAGCTGAGAATATGTGAGAAGGCAAGTTAGAGGTTCATAACTTGCACTTAACAGAGAAACCAGTCTAGGAAGTTAATCTGGAAATCCTGTTTTATAGGTGATATTTAAATCTGTGTACTGGAGGACATCAAGCAAATGTTAATAGAGAATAAGGCAGAAAACTACAAGTGATAAAAGTAAAAAAAAAAAAAAACAGGAGCGTATAGCATTAGGAGCACTAAGGGAAAAAAGAAATATCTCAAGGAAGGGAGTAGGCAGTTGTGTAAAGTTGCAACAAATAAGGTGAGGATTAAAAATTGGACACGAGACCATGCAAAATTTGATACGACGAGACTCTTGAGCAAATTGATAGGCCAAAAGTCAGATTGGAGTGGGTTTAGGAGTGGATGGCAACCTAGGGGTATAGTTTAGTGGTAGAGCACATTTTCCAGGCCCTGGGTTCAGTCCCCAGAAACAAATGAAAAAAGAGGATGGTGAGTTGGAGGGCATGAGGATATGAATAATGACAAAAGCAAGTCCTTAGGGGAAAAGGTATAGGACTCAGTGCTTAATGGAAGAGCTGACTATGGGCAAGACGTATATTTTTTTTTTCAACTTTTGAAACAAAAACATGAATAGTATATGGTGTATAGATGCAGGTAAGTTGTAGGTAGGAAGATAAGGTAATTGAAGTGATTTATTTCAGTGTATTTTTAGCCCATCATTCTAAAGGTTCTTCTAAATGATTTTATAACGTACAGAATCTATGAGTAGATGTACACAATATATTGGAAATAACTGCTCATAATTTTTGCAAACTGAAACAAAGGAATCTGGAGATGTTTAAAAAGGTGATTAGGCAGTTTACAGGGTGAAGCAAACACTCAGAGGGAACATGCAGTGCTCTGTAAATTCTGTATTGTAGCTGGGCTCGCACACGCCTGTAATCTCAGCAGCTTGGGAGGCTGAGGCAAGAGGATCGAGAGTTCAAAGCGAGGCTCTAAGCAATTCAATGAGACCCTGTCTCTAATAAAATACAAAAAAGGGCTGGGGATGTGGCTCAATGGTTGAGTTAAATCCCCAGTACCCTCTCACCCCCACCTGCCCCCCAAAAAAAAAAATCTGTTGTGTGGAGATAAATGCTTAATAAAGATGGGAAATTGAGTTAAAGGCAGTTGTAAGGGCAAGGTGAACTTAAGATGGACTCAGGCATTAAAATGGTAGCGCTAGAAGGGACTTGTTGACACAATCTAGTAGTTTATTTCCTTCATTTGGGAGACAAGAATCAGAAATCCTGTCCCTTAACCTAATATGGTCTCAAGATAGAAATTAAGGGTTTAGGATTCTTTTGCTTCTTATCCATGAGCCTCTAGGACTGAGGGATTTAAGATTAAGAACTAGAAATGGTTGTTACATTTTTTAACAGTTGAACAAAAATTCAAAGAAAATTTTTATAACTCATAATAAAAATTATGTGAAATTCAAAATTCTCTGCCGTAAATAAAACTTTGTGGAAACCCAATCATACTCATTTGTTTACATCTGTCTTGCTGCTTTTGCCTTCTACTCAGAGTTG